ACGCAACGCCAGAAGAGAGAGGCACGTGGTGTATGCAGAGCTTTTCAGAGAGGAGAATGTACTCGTGGTGATTCTTGCAAATTCTCCCATGATGAAAAAGTAAGTGGGGCTAATTATTTGGATACTATCTTGAATTTTAAATACTAGATAGAAGGAAACATTCTAGTTGATTGAACTCAAGCCGTTCCTCATTTGTTTTCTTTCATTCTTTTTTATGGACAGAGAGCTGCAAATACTGGTTGGGGTCATGAAGAGGATAGAAGTTCCAAGTGGGATCATGACAAGTTTAACGGTGCCAAAAAGGGTGGTACAAGTATTGGCCATCGAGTAGATTTCAAACCTGATTTAGAAGAGAAAAATTACAGAGAAAAGGTTCATGGAGATGCCTCATATGACCGCCCTAAAGAAAGAGAAAGAGTGGAAAGGGAGCCGAGGTGGTCAAGAGATACTTATGATAGGAGGGAACATAAGAGATCAGGACGTCTTGATGATTCACAATCTAGAAGACATGATACTAACAATGATTATATAAGAGAGGACAAGAGATCAAGAACACATGATAGGGAGAAAGTGAATGCTAGATCTAAAAGAGATTATAGCGACAGGGAGGGTGAAGGTTCTAGCAGGCAATCAGAGACATCCCCGAGGCAAGATCGAGATTCATCAAGAAGGGAAGATCGCCGTCGCTAAAGGGATAGATAGTGGTATGCATATTCAATGGTTTTCAGTTGTAGCTAGAGTCTATGGGACTGAGCTTTGTTGTTATTTCCAAGAGAGATATCCTTGGGGTTATATAAACTACTTCATTCCGTAACTCTCATATTATGTTTGTCCTGATACATGAGACTTGTTGATTTTACCGTTTGGAATTAAAGAAGTTGTTATGGTTCACTTACATTTTGCTATCTTATTTACCTTGGTTGTTAGTGGCTGCATTGACCTGTGCTTACAGACACAGGTGCTCTACAGAGATGAGTGATTCTTGCTCTCCTTTAAACATATGGATTTATGCAACTGACGCTGTTCCTGTCATAAGCATATTAAAGAGGTAAACTGCATTTTTTCATTGTAATTCCTGTTGACTTGGTCTATGAAAAAATTGAACAAAGACCAATGTGTATAAATTACTGTATTATAAGATGTTTTATACAGCTAGGTATGATTAAGATGTTTTCAATTAAACTGTAATTATGCTATTATATTTATTCTAGTTTGCTGAAAACTGTATATATCAAATCATTGATGTTATTGGTCACCGCTAAGAACTTGACAAACATTCGTTGGCTACATTTTTATAAGGATGGTCGTTGTTAATTAATCGATTTTCCCTAGTAAAGTATGTATGTGATCAGTGCCTGCAATTGACTTGGACGAAATGAAGCAGTTAATTAATTAGCTGATGCAATGCGAGAAGAAATTCATCGTTCTTTCTGACTTTGAGGGTCAAAGTTAATAGGATTGAGAATAGTCTGCTTTCCCCCAGGTTGTAAGTAGAATATCCTCGCTTTGTCTGCCAGTTTCTGAAACCTTATATGCTATCTATTCCTTGCTATTGCATAGGGATCCAGAGGCTAAAGATTTTTATTTGCTCACAAATCATTTTGGTTGTGAAAGAAGAAAAATCACTTTTACTCCCCATGGCTTTTCCTGCTATGGTCTTGAAGCTGATTCTTGTATCTGCTTTCCTTGTCATTGTGGTCTGTGGTCAAACAATCAGATTGACGGAGGAGACTGATAAACAAGCGTTGCTCGAATTCAAGTCTCAAGTTTCTGAAACAAGTAGAGTTGTGTTAGACTCGTGGAATGACTCCCTGCCTCTCTGTAGCTGGACTGGAGTTAAGTGCGGCCCCAAACACAGAAGAGTAACCGGTGTGGACCTTGGAGGATTGAAACTAACTGGTGTAGTCTCTCCCTTTGTTGGTAACCTCTCGTTTCTTAGATCATTGAATCTCGCAGACAACTTTTTCCATGGTGCAATCCCTTTAGAGATTGGAAACTTGTTCAGGCTTCAATATTTGAACATGAGCAATAACTTTCTTGGAGGGCCTATCCCGGTTGTTCTTTCTAACTGTTCTAGCCTTTCATCCCTTGATTTATCGTCGAACCATCTTGACCAAGGCGTGCCTTTTGAATTCGGTTCGTTGTCTAAGCTTGCCCTTCTATCTCTTGGTAGAAACAATCTAACAGGGAAATTCCCTGCGTCATTGGGAAACCTGACATCACTCCAGATACTTGATTTTATATATAACCAAATAGAAGGAGAGATCCCTGAGAGTATAGCCAGACTCAAACAGATGGTCTTTTTCCGAGTAGCATTAAACAAGTTTACCGGTGTTTTCCCTCCTCCAATTTACAACCTGTCCTCACTAATATTCCTGTCCATAACCGACAACAGTTTCTCTGGCACCCTTAGACCTGACTTTGGTTCTCTTCTCCCTAACCTTGAAATACTATATATGGGGATAAATAATTTCACAGGTACCATTCCAGAGACACTATCCAATATCTCAACTCTACAGCATCTTGATATTCCATCTAACCATCTTACCGGAAAGATACCATTGAGCCTCGGTAAACTACATAATTTATTAAGGCTAGGCCTTAACAATAACTCTCTGGGAAGCTACTCTTCCGGTGATCTTTATTTTCTCGGTGCACTGACTAACTGCACTCAGTTGCAGTACTTGAATTTTGGTTTAAACAAACTCGGCGGCCAGTTGCCTATGTCCATAGCCAATCTCTCCGCCCAGTTAACTGAGCTCTCTCTTAGCATAAATTTCATCTCTGGAAGTATTCCTCCTGGCATAGGGAATCTCGTAAGCCTGCAATCGTTAGAAATGGGCGAAAATCTGTTGACAGGCAAACTTCCTCCCTCGCTGGGAGAACTTTCTGAATTGAGAAAAGTCTCTCTCTATTCAAATGGACTGTCTGGAGAGATACCATCGTCCTTGGGCAACATCACTTGGCTAACCTACCTCTATTTGCTCAACAACAGTTTTGAAGGAAGCATCCCTTCGAGTCTTGGAAGGTGCAGTTACCTTCTAGACCTGAACCTCGGTACTAATAAGTTGAATGGCAGCATACCCCATGAGCTTATGGATCTTCCATCTCTTCTCATCTTAAATGTCTCATTTAATTCGCTCGTTGGCCCTTTGAGAGAAGATGTTGGAAAGCTTAAATTTATGTTTGCTCTAGACGTCTCATACAATAAACTATCAGGGCTGATTCCACTGACCTTGGCAAATTGTCTCCCATTAGAATTCCTTGGGCTGCAAGCGAATTCTTTTGTAGGGCCCATTCCAGATATAAGAGGGTTGACTGGCCTCAGGTTCCTAGATCTGTCGAAGAACAAACTCTCTGGCACAATACCTGAATATATGGTGAACTTTTCCAAGCTGGAGAACCTGAATCTCTCTATGAACAGCTTCGAAGGAGCTGTACCAACAGAAGGGATCTTTCGTAATACCAGTGCAATGTCAGTCATTGGTAACATAAACCTCTGTGGAGGCATCCCATCATTACAGCTTGAGCCATGCTCTGTAGAATTACCAGGAAGGCATTCATCAGTCCGAAAGATAATCATCATTTGCGTCAGTGCAGGTATGGCTGCACTTTTGCTGTTCTGCCTGCCTGTAGTTTATCTATGCCGCCGGCACAAACAGAGATTGAAGAGTGTCAGGGCTAACAATAATGAGAATGATCGGTCTGTCTCCCTCTGGAAGTCGTTTTATGAAAAGATAAGTTATGATGAGCTCTACAAGACAACCGGTGGCTTCTCTTCAAGCAATATGATTGGGTCAGGTAATTTTGGGGATGTGTTTAAAGGATTTATTGGGTCCGAGAACAAGGCTGTTGCCATTAAAGTTTTGAATCTCTGCAAACGTGGAGCTGCAAAGAGCTTCATGGCAGAGTGTGAATCATTAGGAGGTATAAGGCATCGCAACCTTGTGAAGTTGATTACTGTCTGTTCGAGTGCTGATTTTGAAGGGAATGATTTTAGAGCTCTAGTTTATGAGTTCATGCCAAATGGAAGCTTAGACTCATGGCTTCACCCAGAGGAAGTCGAAGAAACTGCAAATCCCTCCGGAACCCTTACCCTTGTTGAAAGACTCAACATTGCCATAGATGTTGCTTCAGCTCTGGTTTATCTTCATACTTATTGTCCCAACCCTATCGCCCACTGTGATCTTAAGCCAAGCAATATTCTTCTAGACGGAGATTTGACTGCTCATGTTAGCGACTTTGGTTTAGCACAACTCCTACTGAAGTTTGATCGGGATACATTCGATATTCATTTCAGCTCTGCAGGTGTTCGTGGAACCACCGGATATGCTGCACCAGGTATGCTTATTTTACATTTAAATTTATAACCGTTATCAAGTATTATCTTACGCAGAGACGAGACAATTGCGCTGATATGCTTTACATCTTGTTATCATTATTATTGAACTTTGAAGAATATGGAATGGGAGGACATCCATCAATAATGGGTGACGTGTATAGCTTTGGAATCCTCCTGTTGGAGATTTTCACAGGAAAAAGACCCACCAATAAGTTATTCGTGGACGGTCTGACTCTCCATGGCTTTACCAAATCAGCATTACTGAAACAAGGAGCACTAGATATCACAGACCAATCTATTCTCCATGGTGCATACGCTCAGCTTCTTGGGGTCGATATGGTGGAATGCTTGACCCTTGTGTTTCGGGTGGGAATCAGGTGTTCAGAAGAATCTCCTGTGAACCGGATATCAATGGCTGAGGCCATAAGCAAGCTGGTCTCTATCAAAGACAGGTTTTTAGGAGACGATGAGACTTCCACAAGTTGTGTAGTACGAGAGAATGCTGAAGCGAAGAGATATAGGTACGCACACCTATGTAATGTATAATATGGGAAACATAGATTTGTCTTTCTATGTATGAATGTATGAGTTTTCTAGTGAGTGCTTTGTATTTGTAAATATTGTACCAGTGTGACAGTGTCATGGTTGTAGTGTGTCTTGTGGAATGAGACTCAGTTAGGCTATTACAACATTCTGTCTTATTCAGTAAAATATTATCTTCACATTTAGGAAGGTTTACTAAAACAACCTTGAAAAATAGTTTTTTGACCAAAAAGATGCTAATATTTCATAATTACTCAAACAACTTTCTGTATCCGTTTTACCCTTATTTTCCTTGAAAACAAAAAACGTATTTACGAAACTGTCATTAATGAGTCTTCTGCCAAAAGCAAATAACTCTAACGTTCATGTGATGGTAGATTTATATTTTGGCCGGTAGATTTATTAAGTTGTTGGTAGACTTAATTCAAGTCCGCAGATTTAATCGACGAACGGTAGACTTAAAATTTGAATGGTAGACTTGTTGTGTAGACTTATTTTAGGCAGTGGTAGAGATGTTTTGGAGTGGTAGAGTTAATGCCTTCAATGGTAGATTTGTTTTTTAATGGTAGACTTAGTAGTCGAATGGTAGATTTATCTCGGTAGACTTATTATTGCGTGGTAGATTTATGTTTATGTAATGGTAGATTAATTACTAGTGGTAGATTTAAATGCCTTCATGGTAGATTTAAATTGGAGTTTGTTAGACATATTGATTGTTCGCGATGGTAGACTTATTTATAGTGGTGGTACATTTATATTTTGTAGTAGAATTATTAGTTTCCTTGGTAGACTTAGAATTTGTAATCGGTAGATTTATTGATTGTTAGCGATAGTAGACTTATTTATAGTGGTGGTAGATGTATAATATGTTGTAGACTTATTACTTTCCTTGGTAGAGTTATTCAAACTTTTCAGGTCTTTACTAAAACAACCTTTAGTTGGTAGATTTGTTGACAATGGTAGAGTTGTTAATATGGTAGATTTTTTCGCTTTTTCGATAAACATGGTAGACTTGTTTGAGTTACGATAAACTTGTTTCTTAATATTGAATGACAATAGACTTCTTTAGATTCGGATAAGCGTAATGGTAGATTTATAAAATAAGCGGCATGGTAGACTTGTTTGGATTAGGATAAKGGTAATGGTAGAGTTTTGAAACAAACGTGGTGGTAGATTTGTTTTTGGTAGGTGTAGACTTGTTGTGGTAGGTGGTAGACTTGTTTACATAGTACGCAAAATCTCTGTTTTGCCCTCAGACGAACCAAATAATTGCAGCAAAAACCTTGAACGGTGAAGAACTAAAACAATTTTCAGTTGGTAGACTTGTTGACATTGGTAGACTTGTTGTTTTTTCGATGAATTTGGTAGACTTGTTTGACTATATTGAATTACGATAGACTTTATGTTATGATGATAGACCTGTTTCTTAATATTGAATGACGATAGACTTGTTTCGATTTGGATGGTAGACTTGTTTGGTTGTATTGAATGATGATACACTTGTGTTCTTGTATACAATAATATACAATAATGGTAGACTTGTTCGGTGACAATGCACGAGATTTTTSCAAGAAACGTCATGGTAGACTTGTTGTGGCAGGTGGTAGACTTGTWTATACCYAAGGAAAAATATCGATCTTGCCCTTTGAAAAAACAAAGATTTGMTGAAAAAACCTGCAATCATCGAGAAGAACTAGGATTGCCGCCATAGYTTTTTTGYTTCGTTAACACCAACCTCCACCRTGTACCTACAATATACTTTCTCTAACTTTATTTCTCAACATAACAATGGAGCAAATCATTATGAAAAAACATAGTGGAAGGTCATGTCCCTTGCCCGAAGATATCCAATAATACAACGTTTGGATACTATAAGGTCGATGTTAACATGGTGGTTCACTACAAAGAGAAAAAAATAAATCTAATGATCACAACCCTAACTAGTTGGGTGGACAAGTTGCTCGAGGTAATATTTATGTGCATTTGGTAGATTTATTTTTCACTTGTGGTAGATTTATTTTATCCGGTGTGGTAGATTTATTTATATGTGGTGGAAGATTTATTATTGGAATGCGGTAGATTTTTTAGTCCTATTTTTCCCTTGTTTATGTTAATTAACCTACCTTCTTTGCCATCTTTTGTATATTATAAACATGCTAGGATCGAAAAGGCTAAGTTATGAACTATTCGAGAGATAGATGACGATCAAATGAAAGTAAAATACGGAGCGTCATTGAATGTCTTCATTTGACAACGAGAAAATGTACTTGCCGGAGGTTTAACTTGGTTAAAATATCTTGTATCCCTTGCACATCCGTATCACTTGGATAAAAGATCTGACTTGCACAACTGTACCTTTATAAGAATACTACTTGTACAATGGTTAGTCTAAAACTGATATGATAAGAGATGTTGCGCTACTCGCGTAGGAAGATGTGTCATTTAAAGTTTGTAATATTTCTTTTGTTCCT